GACTTGTCCATGTCAAGCATAAATTGATACCCAGCTACAAAGACAGAATTTGAATAGGATCTCTCTTATGCTGTGTTGAGTTAGATGTTTATGGTGGAGTTTTGGCAGATGATGAAGAGGGGTACCAATTAATAAAGATGTCTGAAGCCTCCTAATGAAAAGTACTTTATAGATGTGTCTTATTTAATAGTCCCTCCTGAGCACAGGTATTGCTATTATCCTCATCGTATAGAAGGAGATACTAAAACTCAGAGAGGGTTACCCAGCTCATACACAGTTGAGTGAAGTTTTGGTTTAGCTGTCTGTTCTTTGTTACTCAGAAGCACTTAATCCAGATGATGATGTTATGATATCAACAACGGAGAAGCCCCTGATATCAGTGCCAGCCTTCCTGACTTCAGAAAATCCAGGGAAGTGCAATGAACCAAAGCATCCTGAGCTCAATGTCATCTGGAAGCCATGCATTTGTATACTTTATTTAATAAATGCTAGGAGAGCATGTGATATGAGGAAATCATAGCTCTAAGTTTTGCCAGTAATCTAAAGATGAAGAGTATTCTATCACCAGCAGATAGGCAGCCTGGTCAGAGACATAGGCTACAAATATTAGAAGGGATGGCAATCTAGGTTCCATGCTGGAATGCTGTTAAGAGGTGAATTAAAGGTTCACTTTTTACATCCTTCTCTCATGGTTCTTCAGTGTTTTCATCGCCTATACATATGAGTGAAAGAGCAGGATTGATGAAGCATGTTTTTAAAATGCTAGCCTCAGAGTAAGGCAGAATATCTTTTTGCCAGATGCTGTTTAAAACCTCTATGAGTAGGGGCCGACACCACGGCTCAATAGGCTAATCCTCCGCATGCGGTGCCGGCACACTGGGTTCTAGTCCCAGTCGGGGCGCCAGATTCTGTCCCGGTTGCCCCTCTTCCAGGACAGCTCTCTGCTGTGGCCCGGGAGTGCAGTGGAGGATGGCCCAAGTCCTTGGGCCCTGCACCTGCATGGGAGACCAGAAGAAGCACCTGGATCCTGCCTTCGGATCAGTGCGGTGCGCTGGCCGCAGTGCTCCAGCCGCGGCGGCCATTGGAGGGTGAACCAATGGCAAAGGAAGACCTTTCTCTCTGTCTCTCTCTCACTGTGCACTCTGCCTGTCAAAAACAAAAACAAAAACAAAACCTCTATGAGTAGGGTTCAAATTAACAAGTGTGTATTAAATAGCAAGTTCTCTATATGCCCTGCTCCATATCTCATGGGTTTTCCTTTACTCTTCTTTGTGATGCTTATAATAATGATAATTTCTTATTATTGATTCCTTAGTATGTATCATTATCTCACCTACCCTTCATTAATGCCTTATAGGAACACACAATTAACCTGTCCTTTCACAAATGAGAATACATGGCTCACAGAGGTAAAGCAACTTGCTCAAAGTCACACAGTTAATAAGTGGCAAATCATGGGCCCAAATCTATGCCCCTGACTTCAAAGCCCATATACTTAACTTTCATTCATTACTGAAAATAATCTTTCTGTACGTAGGGTACAACCCAATATTCACAGACACTTTCTTTATAGGTATTACAAAACTTTACCAAGAAACTAGTGTCAGTGTTGAGAAAGCTTTAATTTTTAGGTATCCACATACATTAAAACAATACTAAAAATAAAACTGTCTCTGAAAAAAATCATTATTTTCCCTACCAGCTAATACTTAAATAATAAATGTTTGTTTTCATTGATTTCTCTACTTCTATTTTTCATTCTAATAAAATGAAATCAGCACAGATGCTTCTATTGGCTTTCTGTTTTAAACATCAGAAGTTTCAGGCCTCAAATATGCTGTTTTCACCTCAGGGATTTGTGGGCAAAGGGTTGAGAATGTCAACAACTTAAAAAGTAAAGCTGAGAAAAGCAATCTTGGAAAGAGAAGTGTCTCAAGACAGGTAGAAATTAGGAGCTCAAACACTAGTTCTTATTCACAGATTCTTTGAAGATTACTAGAAGAAAGAGAACAGAGAAATGATGAAAGGTTCAATCCCCCTAGAAATCTAAGGGCTTCGGTGCTGTGGTCACCATGTTAGGAGACATTCATGACTGGATTACAGGTTCATCTCAACACCACCACTGGGTTCTCCAATTTGTTTTTAGTCTATGTGGCTTCGTTAGAGAAATGTTATGTATACAGAAGAGACACCAGGTGGTGCCCAGAATGTTATTCATTTCCGAGTGATGCATCCCTCTTCCAACTCTGGCTGCCTCTTGCTCAGGTGACAGAATGAATGGACACTGCTAGATGGTATTAAATACCACTTCTAGAACTCCCTCCTATCCCGAAGAAACACAGCTTGGATTAGGCTCAGTGTGAATCCTAATCCAATTATGTTAAAGGTGCTTTGGTTATTCATTATGGTTGAGTGTGCTGATTGGAAACCATGTTCCCTGCAGGTGAGTTTTCACTTATACTTCCAAGGCCTTCTCAGCCAATCTGGCCTTTGCCATAAGCTATCAACATATAGTGACTAAGGTCACTTTCCATCAGACAACCATGGGCTGTGGACACCAGCCAGGTGTGTGATGAGCTCTGGCTTCAGCATGCATGTTGTGTTTGTCCTAGCTGCATGTCACCTTCCTGTCCCTGACAACCTAATTCAGGGAAGAGGGCTGCCTGGCTCTTGGAAATGCTGCTCCACTTCCCTTGGGATGTTGCTGTTGAGGTCATGTCTTACCATCCCATCACTGTCCATGTTAAAGACCATACTCTAACAGGCTGGTTTCCTTCTCCATCCTTTTCTGCCTTTTCTTTAGTAAGCTGCAAGTATGGTTCCTTTGCTTGGACAAACATTGTTTCCTTCTGCCCCTTCCTCACTGTGTTTCAAGTAGTCACATATCTACTGTCATTCAACTCTAATGCAATTATTGCTAGCCTCATTTTTGGTTTGCTCTGACCAGTTCTTATCCCTCTATCTCATTTACCACTCAAGGAAATAACCTAGACATTGCAACAGTGGCAAGAATGTGTGAGTTTTGTGAGACATGAATATCTCCAATTCTATGTAAAAATAAAGTGAAAATTACACCATATGATTGTATTTATTTATACCTGGTTTTGCAAGAGATGAGGTTAAGAATACTATCATCTGCCACAAGCAGATGATTGATAGTTTGGGATTGATACGTGAAACAGGTGTGTACATATAGAGAACTTTGCATCTAAAAAGACAGGTCCATAAAAGTGCAATTATATGTCTTCACCAGTAGAATATGGTTTATATCCAACTTTGCAAACATAGAGCCATTCATGTTTTGTTTCCTGAATAAACAGAGAATGCCAACTATTTATCCCACTGCTTAACCTTAGGGATGGAAAAAAAGCTACAAAAACTTTGTTGGTGGATACAATTCATCAACTTTTTGCAAGACTACACACAAACATACACACATGTATATGCAAATATACATATTATGTGGGAATCCATAATGAACATGTGTTCAGTATTTATGAAAGTATTTAGATCATTTAAGAATTTCAAACTTATACAATGTCATATATATAATAGACTCCTACTCTTAAAATACCAGAAAAAATATGTTACACTGAAAGCAATCCCAAGAAGTTATAAAAAATTTATAATTATTTATACAAAATTCAGTTTCTTACTGAAGCACCTGCCTTTTTTGTAACATAGCTAACAAAAGCCTTGATAGCCAGGTTTTTGTAGAAACAGAACAATGAGATGATTTTTCTCCCCAAGGCATAATTTTGTATTGGTGCATTAAAATAGCTTTAGGAAAAAATTTAGACATGTAGAAGAAGAACGTATAGAGAATGTATAATATAAACATAAAATTCAAGAATATTTAATATTGCGTGTTAAGCTGGATTCTTCATCTTGTACACAAACACATCAATTATAAGGTGATTCATATGTAGATTCCCAGAAGCCACCCAAGTTAATGGGTCATGGAAATATTCTGCAGAATCACAGGAATATCTCTTGAGTCTAATTAATTTCTTGAAGTTTATTGGAAGTGTTGTTACGACCAAGGAAAATATTTTTAACCTGCTCACAATGTTGCTTAAAACAATCTGGAATTTTCAGATGAACAAGAATGAAAGTGTCTATTTAAAAAAAAAAAACAGAAATGGCGCATCCCACCTCCTCTCTTCCCCGACCCCAGCTGCCACTCCCACCAGCTGACTCAGAACAGCTCATTTTGTACCAGCAGTATCCGGTTTCTCTTACAACACAGTCCCTTGGTGATCTGCACTCAGAGGAGGAGCTGTCCATCCTCCCCCTACCCCTGCTGTTTAATTCCTTGATCTAAGAACTGTGACTACGTTGTCACATGTTTGAACTTGGTGGTCTTCCCTGGGAATATGCCTCCATCTTGCTCCCAGAGCACTCTACATCATTGACAGCTCTTCTTAACATGCTGCACACATGGTTTCCAGTGGTTTCTGTATCAAATATAAGGCGAAAAGGAAGTTTTGAATTTGATTTTTCATTTTGGATTTTTCCAGGTAGCCTTTTTTATTCTCTAGGAAGGGATTCTGCTGGAGAAAAGCTGTGAAATGAACTTCTGGGACTGCTTTCCATGGCAAAGAACCCCATGTTTGCAAGCTTCCATGGTCATGGATACTGTTCTTGCTCAATCCCACTCTCTTGGAATGGCATGTCTACAAAAATGATATGGCTAGGCTGGACCTGGGGTGAAGTTCACCTAGCCAAATATTCTGTCTCATCAGATGTTAAAATAACTGTCCTATTCTGCAATGCAGGGCATATCCTACCCCCAGCAGAATAATATATTTTAAGTGATTTCTGAAAATGGGCTGTGAAAGCTGTCTGCCACATGGCCCATGTTTGCACATCTCCATATAGTTAGGATTGCAAAATTTGACAGTATAACTCTGAATCTGATTAATTAAGAATGTGTAAAAACAAAGTTCTTGCATTATAGCTCGTTCCTTATCTTTGTGTCTTTTACTGTGATGTTGTAGAACTTGGATCATATGGAAAACTAAAATATTATGACACAATGACTGAAGAAGGTAAGAATGATTTTAGAATTGTATGCATTGGCTTTTTTTCATTTATGGTGTCTGTTGCTTGCCCATTTTTTAAATCTTCTTTCTCCTTGCATGACTTCAGTGACATCGTGTGATTTGTTGTTTTTTTCTGCATTTTTGTCTAGATTTTGCTATTGTGTTTATTTGGAATTGGACATGCAATACCACGGGTAATCATGTGATTCCATTCAAACAATCCAAACCATCTCAACTGTGCAACAACTCAGAGAAATGGTGTCAGCAATGTAAATACAAATGATCCACTGCTTTAGCATTATTTCCTCTATGTGCTCACAACATACAGAAACATCCATCCAACTCTCTTTTGATAGGTTCTTATTTCAGAGGGAAATATATATTCTGATGATTCTCTGACTTATGCAAAAGAATGAGATATATGAAGTAACTCTTACACCCAAAACAAGACTGCCTTTGATGCAGAGGGCTGTAGGTTCATGTCCTCAGGCCCAGACTTAGCATTATTCTGAAGCTGGGGCCACCATTTCTGCCGATAGAATTGTCTGCATTGGTGTTCCCATCTTCAACCATTTTTACTGACTGGAGATTTATTTTTAAATGAATTAATGAATCCCAGGCACTACCCCAGAGCACAGCCTTGACATAGGCAGAATCACACTTCTAAATTATGTTCGCCATGGAACAGCAACTTAAAATTCTTTTAAAGGGAGTAGTCCGAATGCCCTATCTTGTGTTTTACCCCGCACATGCCTCCATCTTTTAAATAATACATAATATTTGTAAATTATGAAAACATTTTGGGGTTTTTCATGATTTTTACAATGATAGTGACAAGAAATCAAAAGGTACCCTAGTAGGGGAATTAACTAATTTTGTCCTTCAACATGAGAGAAAAACTTGCAAATGTGTTGCATATCTTGCTTTCAGCTTCCAGTATTCCTAAATTGCTTTACCTTGACAAAAATCTCTCAGTTGCTTTGCATGCAGGAAGTGGATCCCTTCACAGTCCTGGGTAAGAGGAAGCCCTTTCTCAGCCCCTCCCTACTTCAGAGTCTACAAAACACCTGGGCCCTTCTCTGTGGCTATCTCTGGGCTTTAACTTAATCACTGCGATGTCTTCTAAAGCATCAAACCACTAATAGGATCTCAGCCTGGGCCCTGACAGCAATGTGAGAGAAAGCATACCCTTGGGCATCAAGAGAACCCAGGGCAAAATGCTACCCTGGTGAATAAGTATCCCACTACCCAGGGATAGAAGGCCCAATCCACAGTTTAAGGAAGGCTCCTGTCCCAGCTGTTCTTTTACTACTGGTTTGGACAGGTGGGTTTAATAGCTTCTACCTGACCTGTCACAATCTTTCACTTTCTCTCCTTACTCTATCCTATCCCTTGCCTTCCACTCTTAACTTCTCATTGCCCTTTTTGTCTCCCTCTCACCTCAGTTATCTCCCTTTCTCCCTTTCCTTCCTCTTTTCACACCCGTATGAGAAAATGTTGCTGTCCATGTGCTCCCTTTCTCTTGCCTCCCCACACCAGACAATTCAAGATCACACAAAGAAGCAAAACTGTTACTCCCAATCTGAAATTTCCCTTGATAACCACTGGGCTTTCAAAGCAGGAAAGCAAAGTCAAAATAATGCCTGGCATGGGAAGAATGGATGACCCTTATCAATACTGTCAAATGGTATCTGGGTCACCTTTAACATTCTTTATCCTTCCTTGATTCTCCTGTGTCCTCATGCATATCCTTTTTGTGTCCCATTCTTAGATGAAAATTCATCTCCTTTATGATGATAGATAATAGTAGCTAAGGCAGAATTTCAAAAGTGTGTTCTGTGAAATATTAGTTTCCTGTCATGCCACTAGGTATTTTTTAATAACCAGAAAAAAAATAAGAAGGGAAAGAAAGAAAAAGAAAGAAAGAAAGAGAGAGAGAGAGAGAGGAAGGAAGGAAGGAAGGAAGGAAGGAAGGAAGGAAGGAAGGAAGGAAGGAAGGAAGGAAGGGAGGAAGGGAGATTCTTGATTCCACAGTTAAATAACAGGAAGATACTCTGAATTAACTTAAATAGGCTTATCATGTGACATTCTAGAACCTTCAACATACAATTATGCTCTGCATCAAATAGTAAATCAAATAAAGAAGGAAAGAGGATGCAGTATTTCCTGGACTTCCTTGATCAAGGAGCCCTTTCTCACATGAAGCTTTTTGAGGAAACATTGTACAAACATTGTGCAAATGAAAGAGGAGACTCTGAGAAACTAAAAATTCTTCTAAACACATAGTAATACCTCTTGGGTATAGTTTGGAAAAGGGTTTCCTCACTTAGCTACTTGGGGTACATCCTTCGGCAGCCACCTCCGTGACAAGCCAGATTTCGCTTAAATCTAATTCTGAGATTCCATCACAATGACTCAAAGGCAGCTCTGTAACCTCAAACTCAGCAACAACCATACATGACTTCTTCAAATTCTCAAGGGCCTCTCCTCTCCCACTGAAAAATAATAGTAACTGTGATTCCTGTCACTTCCATGCTGTGCAAATTCAGGTATTATAATAAGATGAAGACATTTTGGCAATAACTGAGAGCCAGCTGGCCTTTGGAAAATACTCTCTTCCATTTAATCATCTTCACAGTTTTAGGCATTTGTGACTAGCCCCTGAGCAGGCCTTTATTGTGACTGTCTTTGTAACTAGTCATTATTCACAACTGTTTCCAGGGAATTCTCTAGACATTGTATGAGGTCAGCTGCTCCAATGAAGCCTTTTGTCTCCCATGCCCTATAAGTGGACCACATGGAAAGATGTATCACCTAGGCCACCCTATATGCAAAGAGGAATTCAGTGATAGTTTCTAAATGTAGAGAATTGTCCTGCACATATTCAGTTCATTAATTTAAGCACTTATTGTATGTGAGTTATTCTGATAGGTACTTTGGAAAAACAAAATTGGCCGACGCCACGGCTCAATAGGCTAATCCTCCACCTTGCGGCGCCGGCACACCGGGTTCTAGTCCCGGTCGGGGCTCCGGATTCTGTCCTGGTTGCCCCTCTTCCAGGCCAGCTCTCTGCTGTGGCCAGGGAGTGCAGTGGAGGATGGCCCAAGTCCTTGGGCCTTGCACCCCGTGGGAGACCAGGAGAAGCACCTGGCTCCTGCCATCAGATCAGTGCGGTGCGCCGGCCGCAGCGCGCTGGCCGCGGCGGCCATTGGAGGGTGAACCAACGGCAAAGGAAGACCTTTCTCTCTGTCTCTCTCTCTCACTGTCCACTCTGCCTGTCAAAAAAAAATTTAAAAAAAAATTAAAGGGTGGGCAATTTGCTTCCATAGAACTTTTAAAACAGAGAGAAAACTAACATAGCAATAATTGAAGCACCAGGAAGAAAGTGGTAAGTACCATAGGGATTCAGAAGATGACAGACTACAAAGGAGGATAGATTTCTTTCAAAAGTGGGGGAAGGAAGAGAGTTTGTGGAGAAGGTGGTCTTTGAACTTGGCCCAAAAGAATCAGTAAACATGGATAAATCAGGCAAGGAACATGGTAAAGACTGACCCATCAGCTGGGAGAAAGATAAAAGGATGGGGCACACCTATAATGGATGAGTGCCCCACCTACCAAGTGCAGTGCTATGAGCTTTAGTCCATTACACAATATATCATCCAATCTTCATAATGATCACACAAGGTAGATTATACTAAAGATGAGAAAACCAAGGCTCAAAAATTTACTCTATTAGATGAGGAAACTAAGACTCAGAGAAGCTAAGGAATTTGCTCTGGGATTCAGAGGTAGCAAGTCATGAGGTAGGATCTGAAGCCAGACCATTGTCACATCACCCTGCCCTTCTAGAGTCACTGCAGTAGCTGTCCAAGGTGTTATGAGGATCAGGGGTAGCCTAAATTAGACATAGTACAGGAAGTAAGAAGACTAAGAAGGAAAGCATCATGAGATGAACAGTAATGAGCTGCTGAGTAAAACATCTTCCCCTACTTGGACATTTTACCCATAAAAAATTTTCCTTTAATAAAACAGTGTACTTACTCTCAAACACTGGACAGAATCATGGTATTTGTAGTTTGTCCTTGCCCTCAGAGCCCTATCCCTTTCTCCCTCATCACTCAGGCATCCTAGAACTTAAACTGAAGCAGATCTCTGGGTCACATTCAATCCCCTTTCCCACCTCATGCCAGTGAGAATTTTATTCATATTTCCATTCATTTATTCTCTAATATGTTTATTCATCAATACCCAGTGTGAACCAGGCACTAGACTGGGGACAGAGCCCATGGAAATTAAGGACAATCCTTCTAAGGATCTCATGACCTACTGGGAGACACAGGTAGAGAGATGAAGGGTATAATAGGTTACCCCTAAGGTATTGAGGGGGCCCAGAGGAAGACATCTCACCTTTTCCTGGGAAATAAGGGCAGGCAAAATCTATAATGCACACAGCATGGCACTCAGCAGGCAAAGTCTCCACTGCCTCCGTCCTGCATCCCAAGATGACAAACTGCCTCACCAACTCCCTGTGTTGGTATGTTCACTTAATAACTGATACCTGCTCTGTACAAGACATTCTGCTTGGCATTAAAGATTAGTGAGCATCACTTCTCCAAGGGACTATATTTGCTTCTATAACAAAATGTTCCTGGGGACCAAAATGAATGATTCATGTGACCTTTTAGTGACCTTAGTTCCCCACACATGGCAATCATTCCCTTATCTCCTTGTTGAGTGATATTGTGTATTCTTGGTTAGAAGAGCAATCTCCAATATGTACTTGAAGTTAATAACACACAGCTTATGTTCTCATCTGAAGATACCCAAATTTCATATCATTTTCATACTAGAAAAATCTCAATAAATTTAACTTGGCTTCTTTCCTAAAATAACTCTAAAAGAAAATATAGAAAGTTCAAAATCAAACAACTTTATGTGATGAAACATGAATTAAAGAAGAGGCACTTCTGTTCTTTGGAGACTTGTGGGTAGGTAGGAAGGTAGGT